CTCTTTTCTTTTTCAGTTCCTGTCTTTTGTTTGTTTTTCTCCTATATAATTGGCGTTTCCTGACTGTTTCTTATTCCTTCAGCAAATCAAGATTCAAAAGCGTCAAGAGTTCAAGAACATGGTCCTTCGCTTCCTTCGAGACAAGGAAGGTCCGCAGCGTCGGGATCAGATATTGACAGACGTCTGTGCCCAGGAGAAACTGTGCAAGGATGAGCGGAATTCAATGAACCAAGTAGGTTTACGAAGTAGACTGGACGCATGCACTCGCATTCATTTCTCTCACCTCTTTTCTCTCTCTCTCTCTCTCTCTCTCTCTCTCTCTCTCTCTCTCTCTCTCTCTCTTCTCTCTCTCTCTCTCTCTCTCTCTCTCTCTTCTCTCTCTCTCTCTCTCTCTCTCTCTCTCTCTCTCTAGTGAGCATTAGTATATGCACTGTGGTGATGTGAGTATATGTGTCAACGTAAGAGTTGAGGGGCGTGGAGGTGGTGGTGAATGAAAGGGGACTTGCTTGAGGAGTTTATTGGGGAGGTAATGCGCGGCCCCGAGAGTGACCCCGCGCCCTGAGGGCCGAGGGCGGCCTCCTGCCCTATGACTCCTGCTAGGTCTTGGTCTGCTTCTGGTGCTGTTCCTCTCTGCCTGACGAGACGTCCTTATATCCAGCGCCTCCTTGTCCTGCTGGCGGAGGTGCCTCGTACCCTATTCTTTGGGTGTCCATTCTTCCGGGCGTGTCGAAGAGCCGGAAGAGAAAGTCTTGGGCTGGTAAGGAAGGTGCGAAGCCAGGAAGTAAGGCAGCTGCAATGCCTAGGTGTGAAGCCCAACCCATCCGCTTTCCATATAGCTGACATACCGCTCGGCCACGCAAACGGATCGCCCTCGAGCCGTCTGCAACGTCCTATGCACTGATGACGCATCTGGTGGCAAGCTCCCAATATGCTTCTACAGATGGTTGCTGGTGCTCCATGGTCCCTTAGGTCATCATGTGTCAGGGTAGCAGTGTGGCGGAGGTTCACAGTGAGGTGCAACATTCGGTGGGGGGGGGGGGGCACATCGTCTTCAGGAGCTGAAATATAAGTGTATCAGGCCAGTAAAAAGGGCTAAGAAGGAGGATGGTAATTTTACTTGTCAGTACCTTACTAAGATGCCAGAAAATGAAAGTACTAAGAACATTTGTTGTGAGAAGGCAACCTGTCATGAGGTGTTAATTACTCAGGATTAGTGAGCTCAAAAGAGTACCATTATTTTGTAGGGAGAAAGTTGGTGAGCGAGAATTCCATATCTTTGGGCCAAATAGGCTAGTAACAATGCTTCGGACACTTAAAGTAACGTGAGCGTCTTGGCGCTATAAAAAAAACGTAAGCGCGGCGGCGGCGCGCAATTCGGAGGCAGCTTGGCCTCATCAAGAAGTAACGTGCGCATTTCGGGCGCAGTAAGTACGAGTAGCAACATTCGGCGGGCGCGATTCCTTCGTAGGAGATTCAACGGCGTCTGGGCGGGCGCGATTTCTTCGTAGTAGACATAACAGCTTAAAACTAAATTGCGGTGTTAATATGTAAGCCTATATAAAGCATGGTGTCTGCATTGCGTAACCCCTATTGCAGCAGATTTAGACTCCATCAAGTTAGTTACAAGTTACATATTCACCAAAACCTTAAAACTAAAGAAGCATAAATCCCAGCAGTACTAACGATAAGATATCGAATATAGAGAGTAGACCATTAAAGCGAGTTAGAATCAGTTATAAAACATGGTACTTAGTACAAATAATCCTAGAGTGAATTCGTGTAGAGCGGTCAAATAGGTGAGTAAAGGGTCGACATGTTTTGTGTGAATAAGCAAACAACCGCGGCAAACAAGAACGAAGGAACTACAAATAAACATAGCATATAAAGTGAAGCAAAGATTACTGTAAATTCGCAACAATAGACGCGAATGATATACGCGGGAAAACCGATACATTACGATAATTAAATAAATTGAAATAGTTATTTGTTCTCAAAAATTAAGCATTATGCAATGTGAAGACAACAATAATACGATAGTCTGAAAGACACAAATAATACAACAATATACATCAATTAAAGAATGGTTAGGACGGGGGAGTGAGGTGAGTGGTCACAGTGACCCCAGTGTGTAACTTCGTTGTGAGTTAACACAATTATTAACAGTGAGAAAAAATGTAATATAGAATTAGCAGTTAAGAAAAGGCAACTTATATGTAAGGTGTGGGTGGGTTTAGGGAGGGCGAATAGTTAAACTGGCACTGAAGAGGTACACTTACTCTTAAAAGTAGCGAGAGAGTATCGGTGGTGTAGGGCCGAAGTGTGATTTCATGGCTTGTGCTGACGAAGGTTCGCGAAGACTTGGCGAGGTAGGTGAGTCGGTTGGCGAGAGTGGGTTTGGGAATTCATCTTCAGCGACTTCGTCGGGAGCGTAGAACAGGCGTGAGGTGTCAGCATGACGTAGTGTGGCAGACATGGTGTGGATCTTGTTAGCGATGGCTGGCGTTAAGGCGAGGAGGCACTTCGGTAGGAGCTTCTTTCAGGAACGTTCGGCGTTGTGAAGTTCTTCCACCGCTAGCCACCCGTTGTCAACGTAAGAGTTGGGGGGCGTGGAGGTGGTGGGTGAATGAAAGGGGGACTTGCTTGAGGAGTTTATTGGGGAGGTAATGGCGCGGCCCCGAGAGGTGACCGCGCCCTGAGGGCCGAGGGCGGCCTCCTGCCCTATGACTCCTGCTAGGTCTTGGTCTGCTTCTGGTGCTGTTCCTCTCTGCCTGACGAGACGTCCTTATATCCAGCGCCTCCTTGTCCTGCTGGCGGAGGTGCCTCGTACCCTATTCTTTGGGTGTCCTTCTTCCGGGCGTGTCGAAGAGCCGGGAAGAGAAAGTCTTGGGCTTGGTAAAGGAAGGTGCGAAGCCAGGAAGTAAGGCAGCTGCAATGCCTAGGTGTGAAGCCCAACCCATCCGCTTTCCATATAGCTGACAATATGATTATATGAATCGTAAAAAACTATAGTGTGTTGACTATATCAATTGAAACATAGAACATTACACACCTTTCAGTAGCATGATATAGATGTAGCTGGTTTTCACACGCACTCGCCCGAGTGTGTTCTTGCCTAGCTCCGGATTAGCGTTGTGGTGTCCGTGTTCTGTAACATCTTATTAAATATTCTTTATTTCATTTATCCCTTTATGTTCTATCATTTCTTATTCTTCAGGTCATTGAGACTATGGTCGAGCGAGGAACGATCTCGCTGAAATTCGACGCGGACCAGAGGCAGTGCGTCGAAATTAACGACGCAACACAGACCATAACTAAAGTCAAGCCAAAGAAACCCCGACCTCGCCGCGGGAAGGCCATCCGATTCCAGAGGGAACGCAGAAGAGGTCCGCAGCTGCCGTCGACGTCCACGTCCGAGGCGGGGACGCTGCCCGATTTCGACCTCGAGAGTGGGGATGAATCAGGTAGCCATGTCTCTGCATGTATATGTCTATCTCTTTCTAGCTTTCTGTCTTTGACTATCAAATCCCAAATTGTGTGTGTGTGTGTGTGGATTAGTATATATATATATATATATATATAATATATATATATATTATATATATAATATATATATATATATATATATATATATATATATATATATATATATATATATTATATATATATATATATATATATAATATATATATATACATATATAAGATTGTGTGTGTGTGTGTGCGTGTGTGTATGTTGTGTGTGTGTGTGTCAGTGTGTGTTGTGTGTGTGTGTATGTATATTGTCGGAGTATTTATTTATATTATGAGGATATATACTAAGTTATGTACAGCTTAATTCTATATTTAAAGGTACTTTTTATGAATTAAATAAATGGTATCTAATAGTGATAGATTGTAATATTAGCTATTGTCATAGGTACCAATGTGGATATTGGGTATAGTTTATATAATATTTGGAGGTAGTTCTAAATACGGCGAGTGATATATGGTGTGTGTGTGTACGTGGTGGTGTTGTGTGTGTATATATATAGTTATATATTTAATATAGGTATATATACTATAGGCGTGAGATATGTATATATATATATATATATATACATATATATATATTGTGAACGTGTTATACGTAGTAGTGGATAGGTATATATTTGTAGGTAGTATATATAGTATCAATGTAGTATGATAATATTCATGTATAATATGCTGTATTTAGTTATAGTAACTATGTATATATATACATGTATAACACTTGTTATACTATATAGTATATATATATATAATATGTGTGGTTGATGTGTGTAGTGTGTGTGTGTGTGTGTGTTGTGTGTGTGTGTGTGTGGTGGTGGTGTGTGTGTGTGTGTGTGTGTGTGTGTGTATTATATATAATTATATAAGGGTGTGATATTGGAGTATCGTTGTTGGGGTTACTAAAATTATAATAAATAGGTAGTATGTTAGTATCGGCTATAAGTTACTGATAATATAGTATATATGGATGATATGAGGTAGTATATACATGTGTATAACTGGGGTGAACATGTAATTAAGGTACATGTTAATAAGGATTTGGAGTTTTATTATGTATGATAGTTACAATGTATAGGTATATATATAAAGTGTTAGTTACTATAGTATATAGTATGTATATATTATATCATGTTATACTAAGTATTAATATATAGTATATCGTATAGTCATAAGTATATATATACATAGTATATATATATTATATATGGTATATAAATATATATATATATTGACGCTATTAACATGTATTTGACGATCATGATATATTATGAGGAGTGACGATATTATATATATATGATATATACTCGGTACTTATAGCATAATTATATACGTAAAATAGATCATATATAGACCGATGTAGTGGTACTAAGGAGAATAAGTTAGCTATAGTGGGGGGTGTGTCTTATATAATTTGTAGATAGAGTGAGTATTAATATGCTTGTATGGTCGTGTGTATATGAAATATGTAGAGCT